ACCACATTCATTGAATTAAAATTGATACAGGGGATACAAATAAAGAAATAAATACGATAAGAGTAGTCAGTTGGTTATAATTTTTAGAATTCAAACCATGGTTCGATTTCAGTTTCAAGAGCTTCAACTGTACCTAGTTGCATCTACCGTATACATAGGAAACTGGCCTACTTCAACTGTAATCTTGAGATGAGATTTCTTACTCATTAAATATTAAAGACTATTACTTCGTTTGTTGAAAAGCACATATTTTGATTTGTGATTTTACGGTAATGCGTCATGCTTTAATAAAATTAATTTGATCACATGAAACAATGTGATTGATTGATAGTACTCCTCTTAATAACCAAAATAATCTCATATTTCGAAATGAGCGATTAGATACAACAATTACTACAGTTAGCATCTCAGTAAAAACTGTGTAGCCAGTCGGTAACTGCCAATATTTCGAAATACAACCTCGTCCTACAATGGAAGCACAATTTCCTCTGAAGATATTAGCCGTAGTTGTCGACTAAACGTCTGTATGTAAATTAATTTCGACCACTACTCACGAATCCAAATCTTAATTCAATCCTGGATTCCGGCTGTGATGACCTATATTTTTAAATTACAAAGAACTTTACATTAAATTGAATCGTCGTTTTAAAGGACTTCCCAAAAAATTTTCATTCTAACAAAATTGGGTTCCTTAGTCAAAAAGGTCAGTAAACTAGACCAAAATATGTGTGCATTTGGGTTTCTCTAACTCGTCTAGTAATCGAGACATGAAAAGTAAAGTGGATGTTCACGTTTTCTCTATCAATTACTTTGTTTCAATGGAAAATCACACTTACAGATAGCTTTCAGATTACCAATCACTTGATTGAGAGTCTCATCCTAAGTAGGATTACGGTTGTGTAGAAATGACACATTTACATTATCAACAGTAATAAATAAATTTTAACAATCAATAGAGTATTAGCAAACTGTCATGGTTAGATTAAACTGACGAGACGTAGAGCTATGCGTAAATGAATGTTGTTCAAATATGTCAAGTACTTCAAATACCTACTATACTCGCTGAACACTTTTAGGTACATGACTTCTTAGGATAACCTCGGTATATATTCAACCAGTTTTAACGTGATTTTCCTTTCACAAAGAAGGAATGAGTAAGAGTCAAAAGTAGAGTTAAATGAGTGCTTAATAAGTAATTTTTCATTTTTAGGGAGAATTTTGTAGAACTAAATTAAAATGTATATTAATGAAACGTTTAACTTGAGATTGCTGCTTACATATTTCGTAACCTTGTAATTCTTAATAAGAAAGATACCTAATGTCATTTAAATTTTTACAAAAATAGGAGTTATCCCTTCGCATGTCCATTCGATAGTGAAGACATAATCATTATTGAACAAAACAGGTATATGTTTTGATTTATGAATAGTTATCTACCTAACTTAAACCAACAGTGTGTATGCTCGCTTGTTCATGCGTACAGCAGGGGTTCGCTTTCCGATCGATGCAATGCATCTTTTCATTTTTGTACCTGTCTTAACAGAAACATACACAAATGATTTCTATTATACACATCTATGACATAGTGCATTTCAGATGATGTAAGTTACAAGAAATTCATAGTGGTCAATAATCGCGATTTTGATCTCATTGTATCTCATCAGCACGCTGTAGGTGGTTGCGACAGAATACCAACTATACCTACCCTCTATAGATTGCGTTCACTATGCTGTTTGTAGTAATTCAACAAAAGCTACCTTAAGGTAGAAGGTACATTTGAAACTATCTACAGCGTACCGATTAAATTCAATAATATCAAAACGAAAGAATACTGACCACCATGAACCTATCACGTAAGGGTAGCTACGCTGTGGACTCATTTCGACAAATCGATATCCGTATGACCTTATTGAAAGTGTTTAAATCTTAAAAATGTAACAATTTTCTACTTATTCTTAACATAAGTTTAATTCACCTCCTTTTATGCTAAATACAGGAAAAAATTTAACAGGAGTTTCGAATGCAGTTTGCAATGAGCATTTGTGTGCCCTATATTTCTGTTGAATATATTTTGGTTCTTTTAATAATCGGAATTAGTATTTCCTGCATAACAGGTTTCATAAACACTTTTGTATTATTTGTAAAATATTGTTGATTAATACATACGCCCCAAACTACCGTTTCGGTAAAATGAACTGCATATACGAGGGTGGATTGATAAGTTTCCGGCCTAACCAAGAGATGACGCCACTAGGCCTACCTTGAGGTGACATTCTATAGTACCATCCTTGGATAGCTTGTAGCTATAGTTTCAGCCCGATCTCCTTGCTAGTGTAGGTTTGACAGCACGCTGAACAAGACGCCTCTGTGGTTTTCGTAAAAATGGAAAAGCAGGAAAATCGTGCTGTCATCAAATACTTTTATTTGAAGGGGTTAACGCCGAAGGAAATTAAAAAAGAGATGGACTCAACACTGGGGACATCCTCCCCGTCATATTCAACCGTTAAGCAGTGGGTTTCCGAGTTTAAAAAGGGTCGTGTGAGCACCTCTGATGGGCCTCGCTCAGGACGCCCCGTTGAGGTCACAACTCCAGATATGATCGAAAAAATTCATCAAATAGTGCTGGGAGACCGCAGATTGAAAGTGCGTGAGATAGCTGAGACCTGTAAGATGTCATATGAACGTGTGCAACATATTTTGCACCAACATTTGCATATGAAAAAGCTCTGTGCAAGATGGGTGCCGCGTTTGCTAACAGTCGACCAAAAATTGATTCGAAAAAACATTTCTACCGCAAATTTGTCATTGTATAAGCGTAATCCAAGCGAATTTTTGCGTCGATTCGTAACCGTTGACGAAACGTGGGTCCACCACTACACTCCTGAAACCAAAGAACAGTCTAAACAGTGGATTGGACCAGGGGAACCAACTCCAAAGAAGGCAAAAACAATTTTTTCGGCGAACAAGGTTATGGCTACTGTTTTTTGGGATGCAAGAGGTATTATATACATTGATTACCTTGCAAAGGGTAATACTATCACTGGTCAATACTACGCAGACTTATTGCAACGTTTGAGCCACGAGGTGAAAATTAAACGACCTCATCTGGCGAAGAAAAAAATCTTGTTTCATCACGATAACGCACCAGCGCACACGTCAATCGTTGCGACGGCTAAAATCAACGATCTAAAGTTTGAATTGATGCCGCACCCTCCTTACTCTCCAGACCTAGCCCCGAGTGACTATTTTCTGTTCCCTAATCTCAAAAAATGGCTTGGCGGTAAGAGATTTGCGGACAATGAAGAAGTAATCGAAGCTATAAATGGTTATTTTGAGGAGCTTGACGAATCAGTCTATAGAGATGGCATTAATAGACTGGAACACCGCTATGAGAAATGTATCAGCCTTGGAGGAGATTATGTTGAGAAATAAAAAAAAAAATTTTTAAAAACCTTGTTTTTCTTGGTCAGGCCGGAAACTTATCAATCCACCCTCGTATGTATGTGCTGTAACTATTACATGTTACTACTAGTAAATTTACCATTTTTAATAACTTCATGGTCGGAACTAAGTATAAACAATATTCACATATTATACGTTGCCAAATTTACAATATCAAATTCATTGAATCAAAACGTTTTGTTTATAAAATTGTGTAAACCAATCATAAGAATTAGAGGTCAAGAAACATACAAAACAGCTTTGTGTCATTATTTAAATCCTATTTTTTAAGGAACTACCACATAAATTAAGTGATGCAACTAGCTAAACTTTACATTACATAGAGGGAAGCAAGGAGTCAAGGTTTACTTTGCATAGTAATTTTAAACGTGGAAAGCTGCAATGATATTAGATCGATAGATACACAAAACTTTTTAATCTTAATCACAAATTGTATTTATTTAATATTAAGATGTTCTTCTGTTCAAAATTCATGCCTAACGTAATGAAGTGAGAGGTTATGTGTTATGGTCTAGATATGTTTGGTTTGGAAATCAAAAATTGATGAATTGATGAACAGGTACCTACCAAAAATAAATTTTCAACGGTACAAACTGCGTAATCAAGCAGATTTCAATTATAAGCGTGTCCGTTTATGTTTTAAATGTCAAATATTCATCAGTTAGTCGATACGATCAAAATGGTATGCCGATAATGCAAAAATTTTCTTGAAAGATACTAAATGAACAACGCGCCGAAAACGGTTGCAGCAGTTGAAAAAAATTGTTCAAGAGGATTGAATCAAAACTGAAAACTACTATTAAAAAATTTTGTGCAGAATGATTGCTACCTTCTCCAACTTTTCAAGGAATTCCTGAGTGGCAGGCACTTCAATACAATTGCGGATCTTAAGACGGTGATCACTTCATGGGTTTTGAAAATTGACACGTTTTTTTAAGGAAAGCATGCAAAAATTACACAAATGGAATAATAAGTACATTGAAGTAGACGGCGATTATCTAAAAAAATTGTTTTGAACTCAAAGAATAGAATAGGTATGATATTTCGTTTCTCTCCAAGCTAAAGGATAATACTCTTTGATGTGGTTAGGCGTTAGCGACGTTGGCGACTGACAATGAAATCGCACCTTAGAGAGTTTAGAAAACATCACAATGCTGGAGTCGAATTAGCATAGTAATGTGGTCTTTATGGAGAGTCATGTGAGGCTATGTCTTTGTTTTGGTTATTAAATTTATAAAAAACGCTGCAACAAAAATTCAGTTTATTAGCACTGTTTCTAATCTAAACAGGTATGTAAAAGGGCTCCGCAAAGCGAATTTCGCCGAAGTCCACACTCGGTTTAGCTTCACCGCTGTATTTGATCTGTTATTCCCGCCAGAATTATAACGTATTATAAAATAGATCATAACGCAGTACTAATGTGACAAAATAGCAAAAGCTATGAGTAAAATGATAGGGCAATGGACCATATCCCCATGCCAAAAATATATTATGATTAAACACAGTTTAAGCTGTATACCGAAATAAAAGCTACTTACTTTGATTATCATACGACCAATGGCTGGCAAACGCCGCACCTAAAAATAAATAGAAGAAAATAGAAACAGAATATTTAACATTATCGGTATCAGTCATGAAGAATGTAAATCGAACGGAATAATATGCTTGGATAATAATTACATGGTAAAAAGTTGTTCAATTTTTTTAAAGAAAATTATATATTAATATCTCAAATTACAACCTTGCAACCTGTTATCTACATACTTTAAATACGAAAACGTCAGCTTCTTACGATGATACAAATAAGTACAGTAAAAATGATAACAAATTACCTACAAGTGATGTAGTTCACATATGGTCAAAGGCTGTGTCGTTAAATACCCATTACGAATATTAATTGCTAGTTTAAAACAAACTGGGCGTAACCTCAGGTCAAAATTGATAATTTTTCTATGTACGATAAGAGAATGTCGCAGGTCATTACTATATTTATAAAACTCGTTCTTGTTTAGCACAAATGCAAAATACATTTTCAAAATTATTCCAATGGTTTTTTTTCATGCAGATATTCATTACATTTTGAGTTATGATGGCAAATAAGTATCCAGAAGACTAAGCTGTATATATCTTTAGAATCGCCCATTAAAGTTTCAGTAATTCTGTCACGGAACCCCTTGAAAATTTAGAAATTTAGTATGTTGTACAGTTCGTCATGCTGAATGAGAATACGTATATATGTATACATGTTGGCCGCGAAAACCGTGCTTTTACCTTCTTTTTCAGCTTAGGAAAATAACCCCCTCCATCCCCCACTCTCACCCTCGATCCAATCTTAGGTAATTGCTGGAAAAGAAGGAAAATAAGGTGAAGATGTGACTTCCACGCCCTTGTTCAGCAAAGATGGGGGTTCCACGACATAATTACAAAAATTTTCACATGAGGAATACACACATATCAATAATAGTCCAATCAGTTTTACCAATGTCACCACAACTAAATTAACGTGTTAAATTTGAACATCAAAATACAGAGAAATGAACATAATTTTTCAATATTTTATTAACTTGCTCATACAGCATTGTTATAAATAATCCGTTATAACACAAATAAGCCTCATTTCTATGAATGCTGCATAGATTGGTAAATGTTCCAATGTTGGACTTGGATTTTTATAAGCTGTTATCGATTATAATACAAAATGGAACTAATACTATAATGTTAACCTAATACTCAGTATTAAAGAAAATAAAATATAATTATGTCATAAATCTATGGTATACCCAAGTGTTAAATAGAAACAAAATTATAAAAATGTAGCATTTAAAGATCAATCACGAAATTACATCTCATGTAGGAAAAACGTGCAGAATTTTCACAGCTAGAATTAGTGAATGTAAGAAGTCAAACATGCAATAATAAAACAAACTGAGTCAAATTATTTTAAACCCCTTCTGATGAACTTTTAGAAATTATAGAAATTAATAAATTAAAGTTTTCTAAAAAATTAAAGTCGCCATATGTGACTCCCCATATAATCGAACCTGTCGTCAACTGGTCGATAATTCCGTTTCTCATTAAAAATTCTAGGTTTACGGTGTAAATTCCGAAGAAGCAATTTGGCAAAATTTCATGGATGATTTTTGAAGGAAGCTTTATCAATTTAAAAATTAGGTTAATTGGTTTGTTGTCAATTCATTGTAAACACGTTGAATTTTAACCTTTACCTACTTCAAATTGGCCAATTAGTTCACGGTCTAACTTTCAAAGAAGCAATTTGGCGAAACAATAATCAAGGTAAAAATAAACAGAAGTTTAAATTTATTATCATTATGTACTCACAATAGTCATTTAACAATACTATACAAACATACACTACATATTACTCAAAAAATATTAGCTTCTCCGCCTATCGTCAAAGTGTTTTAATTCAATCATATAAACTTCATAAATAATCAGCATCTACAGAGAAGAAGCTCCTGAAATTCTAATACAACAATCTACTTCCAATGCGAAAACATAATATACTGTTTAAACAGCTGTTTATGGTTCATTTTATGTGCATAAAAAAAAGTTGAGGATAAGTTGAACAACTTGTTAAATTATTTCCTGTTATAGTTATCTATAATTAAAAAAGTGAAAATGAAACTAAAAAACTCAACTTGCGTACATTTATTTCAAGAGCTTTAAACCAACATAATCTTATCGGAAAGTACAAACTACATTGATTTATAATTCCAACCTATTTAAACTAAGTCAGTTTCCTATACAGATAAGACAAAATTTTTACTGAACAGAAACTACACATTTCTTTATTGGATTTTCCTTTCGCATAAGCGAAAATGCATTATTTGATGAAACTGTGGAATACGTTTTCTCAGCAAGTGTAGTCTGAAATTTGCTTTTCTATAAACTGTCAAAATTCGCTTAGCAAAGCTTAACACCCCTTTTAAATTGCATTTATTGGGCTTATATTACATGTAATAGAATATCCCTGTGTTTGGTATTCCATTCGTCTGTATTGTACAACAAACCCTACAGATTTTCGACTTAATTGTTAATTAACAAAGTAAATACTTTAAAATGTGAATGGCATCAATACAGCTAAAGTGGATGAATTATTTGGCAATAACATGGAAGGAAAAGTGTAATACGCAGTTTACTAAATCTGTTCTGTGGTAGTAACAGGCAAGTGGTTCTAACCAACTATTCCATAAATACAAAACTGCTATCAGTTTGATGTATAAACTAAAAATATTGTGGTCATCTAATACAGGAGTTACTCATAATTGCAACTAAGAACATTGAATTGTTGACAAAAATATAATTAAAGTAACATTTTAAAAGTTTAGAGGAACATCCTGGTGGTCCACGAACTTTTCAACGCGCTGTAAAGCGAACCGTAGTGTATCCAATAATCAAAAAGCTTTTATTCAAACAGAGCTGAACTGTCACCCGATAATTTAAGAAAAGGTCACAAAAACGTGAGATCCGAATTCCGGCTTCGCTCTCTAGGTATCTATCACCTCGATGGTCACATCAATTGTGTTTTTAGTAATCGTAGATTATAATTGATTTGTACTTCTGTTATTACTGTTCTCTAACTCTTATCTTCAAAAATATTTTGCACTTAAGCTCCCAGCAACACAAATCTACTTTTTTCGGAAGGAAAACTAAAAGTCCAATACTAACATTCGATATCTTAAAGGATTTTATCTTGGTAATGGAATAAACAACAATACACAATTACATTTAATATTCATGTTATGTATTTTCCAATATGCATCCGTAAATATTATTGGCTCCCGTTAACAAGACCCAATAAGGGACCATGTGACAATTCGCCTCTTCAGAGTAGCCGTCTAGGCGTCACATACGAGGTAGACAACATAACCTGAATCCATCAGTCAAATAAGAGTACGATTTCCCTGGGTACTTTTTTATTTTTACTGTTTTTGCTAGCTAATTTATTTTTTAACGCCATTCAACCATTGTTTCGGCTATGCAAGACTATATTAGGTATAACGCCTAGACTAACGACAGCTCGCTGTTCGTAAAACCGAATTTAATTGGTGTCTCCATTGAAATTATTGTTACTGGTAAATTCGTGTTAGGGAATTGTTAGGCATACCAATGCTTAACTGACATTCGTACAGACATGCTACATGAAACACCTTTGGCATAATCTTCACTATCTTGTTATAAAGTAAATTTGAGCTGTTCGTACACCACCAAAACCCTTACATATGATTCGTGGCACATTTACATTTACAGTTATTTCTACTTTATTATAAATTAAATGAAATTAAACACATTCCTAGTTTAAAAATCGATTTTCATAAAATTATGGGGCGCGCAACACCTGTACTTCCTAGCCTGAGCTTGGGCTACCGCAAGAGTCATGAATATTTCGATCTTGTATTCTCGTGTTTTCAAAACCAAACTATTATTAAGTGCAAGAGCTTATATGAGATATGACTCAATAGCAAAATGAATAATTTGAGAAACTTATCTTGTCAGGACCACTTGTTCAAGATCTTGAGCATATCTCATTCTATACTTAAGGCTAACAGCGATGCAGAAACAGAACAGTCGCGATAGTGATAATCTATTCATACTTCTATTATAGCCATTCATTAGACCATTTCTTTTTTTATTTTAAATTTTCTACCTAAATTTTGGTACCTTAGGTATTCAAAGTCGGGATCAAAGATTTCCTTATACAAGACATAAAGAAATCAAGACAATATCGAGGTCACGTATAAGCACATGAACAAGACAGAACTTAAAATCTGTATTTTCCTAAAACTAAAACATCTCACGTCCAATGAATTATTATTTGCGAACAATATCCCAATCTAGGTCTTCTTGTGCCCCTGTTCACTCACAGTTCTACTTCCAATATGTCTCCAATAACTATGTGCAATTCAACTATAGAGAAACTTTGATTTTTTTATCTTTTCCGTACCTTTTATGATTATTGTCTAAACAAGTTTAACTAAGTTTTTTAATTATCTCTAGCAGTTATCAAAAACTATCTTTAGTGGATATTGCCTAGAAAGGATTAAAAACATTTCTTAACTAATTGTACTACTAACCAATCATAGTGCTTCTACTTTAAAAGGTTAAAATTTAGTGTTATCCGTTAAGGGTGCCCGTTGGTTCGCTTTTTGATGGTTTAATAGGGTTGGGTATAGAACATAAATTTCATTCATGTCTCAGAAGGTATCCTACCATCATGATTCCTTTTTGTATACAGTTATACAACGCCCACTGTTATCCTATTCTTTCTAAAACCTTCTCATTTCTAATATCTGCTATCGGCAGTCTTATAAACCAGAAATAGTAATTATTGTGTATTCATCGTCCTAATTAAATTATTTTCATGCTTGATACATGCTCGTAAATTGCCACAAAATATGTCTCGCCCTTCTTCATTCCATATATTTTATTGCAAAACGTGAGCAATGCTTTATTAGGATTATTATTTATGGTTTTTTAAAAATATTAATGATTAAATTTATAATTTAACTTACGTTTTCGAGATAATGCAAACACATATTTTTTGTAATCTTTCACGTGGGTTGAAGGTTCTCACTTGGAGAGGGTATCGATAAAAAGTACAGCGGCGCTTATATTCTCCTACTGAAGTTTTATCTTATAACTTGTATGCTTATCTTTTTGCATGAATAGAAAAGAGTTTCTAATATTACAACAATTTAAATTAGTCTGAATTTGTTCTGTTTGCTTATTTCTTGTAAACAATTATTGAACGATGAACGGGAGCTGTGATTATAGCAATATTAACAACAATATTGACAAAAAACTGTTTGATTTGAATATAGATTTGCAAAAAAACACCAAATCTTATGTTTATGATACACTACGCCAAAACTTTTAAAGGCATGAATCCTGCACTCTATCAAATGTCTACTCTTGCTTTGTTCAGTAATACGAATTCTTTTGCATTTTGTAAATCATTTAAATAACATCTTTATGCAATCCACAACAGTAGGCATTGTTTGTCAAATGCATTCGTAAACAATAAAAAAATTAATTGCCTTTTAAAATTACACCATCTAAAAGTATCTTTTTATCCTTTTGCCTCTATTAAACGAAGAAATATTATATTATAAAATCACATGAATGGCACCATTCAACAATTTAAGCCCATTTATCTATCCTGTTGGCTACTTCATCTCATTATTTCTGCAGATAAAAATATCAAACCAGAACTTGTTAATACATCATAACACAAAAATAACGTAACTTTTGTCTAAGTTATAAATAAAATGTTCTTCGAAATAACGTTTCTGAAACTGAATGATTAATTTTATTTATGTGTAAATGTTACTTATAAAAGAGCGAGCTAGTTTCTGTGTTTCTATCTATAGGTAAGAAAAAATAAAGATCTTTTAATCACCAACGTTGGATTGGGTCCAAACGTTGCATATTCGAGTTCAAAATTTTTACTACTATGTACAAGCGCGACTTTAATTTCAGAAGGAAATAAACAGAGGAGTGTGACACCAGTGCGTGCCACCAATAATTAATGTAGCTGCAGCATGCATATTATATTTGGATTTAACTATAATAATGCATGTTAACTTATTATTTTAAATCAACGATGTTATCGTTAGTACTGAATCTCGCACGACTGGAGGAAATGAACTCAAAAAGTTTTTATTTTCAATTTAATAAATAACTTTGAAATTTGATAATTAAATAGGTGATATCAACCTCAAACAGTACTAAGATTTGTATAACTAAAATAAGTAAACTTCTGTTCAGTTTTTAGTCACTACTTTCTGAAGAAAAGAACGACAAATTTTACAAAAGTGCCAAAAAATTAAGTGCATGCGAAAACGAAATTTCTATATTAAGAATTTGGTTGAGAAAATAATTCGCAAGTAAATTACCTGAATAATAAACAAATGATAATCACAATGAAAGAATTAATTTTTTTCAGTAAACTTACCAAAAGTAAGTACTAGAAATCCTAAAAATTGCACCATTATGACCGGCACTGTTACGCGCTCGAAAATGAATGAGTATATACATATAGAAAGGTTGTCAATTTGGCAACCATTATGAGTTGGTTGGCAGTAAATTACGGTGACAAGAGCAATTTAAAGACAGATTGGCTTGTGGCTCTGAATGAAATTGATACAAATCCCGTATCAGTCATTATCTTTATAATACAACAATACACTTAGCATTTATAAAACTTTAAGAATGGGCTTTTCAATAAGAGTACTTAACATACTATATACCAAAATTTAAATTTCATACCTCTCTTAAAACATGCTTTTGTAAAGTTTCCAACCTAATTGTACTACTGTGAAAACTATTACTGGTTTAGATTTACTTATTTGCCCTTAAAGGTTATTTAACAAATGCAGTTAATCAATTAGGAATTTCTAGAATGTAACTAAATGGCTGTTTTTCCTCTCCTAATACTCTCCCATTTCTGATATATGAATTTTTCACAATTTTACAGTTGCCTTTAAAATATGGCGCTTCAGTTTTATTATTATGGTCGTAATTATCTATAAATCAGCATGTAGGTACATATGTAGAAATTACGTTGTGTAGACAGATCAACATGCAATTGTTATGATATACGTACGTAAAATATCTCTTATCTCAAAAGAGTTCGTTTTCTAGTAAGTGTTTTTAAGAATACTTAAATTACAGGTGCTTATATGAAATGTAACATCCATATACTTAATGTCGTCAGTCAATATTTGTCACATCAATAGAAATGAGCAGCCATAATTCAGTCACTTATAGGGATATTGTAAAATAATTAAACCTTAGAGGTATATTAAAAATGTCATAAAGACATAAGACGGTATCTCTTTATTGCAGAGTAACATTAAATCGTATAATTTACATTGATGGCTTACCGTTGCCTACAACTTCACTGGGCGTTCAACAATTGCGCTCAAATAAAAACAATAATAACAATTGTTCAAAAAAGGTAACTTGCACTTACCATCTACTTGAAAGTCAACCTAATCAAAACATTAGTGTGACACATAGCTGCAGGTACTTACTAACGGAAGGCTTACATTCAGGAAATTATAAATAAAAATACTCATTGGCCAAATGAGTGTATCAGCTATCAGTTATTATAAACGTTGACATTTAATGAATTGCATACCTTTTGTGAGTAAAAACCAATACATAATAAACCTATTCATTTATTCTTATAAAAAAAAAGTATAGGGCCAAGGGAAAAGATATTTTAATAATATTCATTAAAAAAAAATAACCCATTACCAACAAAACAGGGAAGGAAATTAAATACAGCATGTTCATTTTTTTTTTTGAGTACCATGTTATTTTTCTACATAATCGCCTTCCTCCTCAATTACTCACTGTTTTTTTATCACAATTATGTCTATTTTCCGAAACAGTCAACTGACCACTGCCGTGAATTACTTGCTGTCCCATTATTTTAAAAGAGGGAAAATATGGTAATCACTGCGTTAGATCTGGGGAGTATGGTAGGTTAGGCAAGGTTAGGTATACTTCATGAAGCACTGCAGAGTAAATAGATATAAAAAGTGAAAGATGGTATCTGGAATATATCTATTACCGTATGTTTTACGATTAGCCATGTAACTAATGTGTTTTCGACTAACGCTTCACCATCTAAAGCATATAACATCAAAATCAGACCGCTATAATTATACGTCTGGATCAATAGAAGATACATACCTTCTAGGCCTACAAATACTTTATTATTAGGACATTCATTTATTTTTTCCAGTTAATTGTAGGTAAACATTTTATCTTCATTTAAGTCCAGAAATATTTGCTTGGTTAAAACGTGATCGGTTGATTTTACTAAAGTAAAAGTAACTTGGATATTATATATATTATATATTCAGTTACACATTTTTCTTAATAGACAAACTGTATTGTAGTAAAATCGAAGAAGAGCACTTTTAAGAAAAAATAATTGAAATAATAAATTACATTAAAAACAAGTTATCCTCAAATTTGTTTAATTTTTGTTCTGCTGTTGCTGTATATTTATAAAATTCATTACCTTTAAAAAAATAGTATCTCCATGTGAATATCTATGTGCCTACCAAATTTTGTTCAAATTGCAGGCCGCATCTTCCAGTTGTTTCAAAAAAGCTGTACCTTTTAAGAATTGTTGTCGATATAAGGATCTTTGTTTTAATCCGAAACTGCTGCGGGTATAGTTTTTAAATAACAAGCCAAAATTAAGCTATGGAAAAACTCACTGACGTACGTACTTAACCGTTCAAAGTTTTACAGATTGTATCTATCGGTAGGACTGGTCTTCAGCCTTCTCATATGTAAAATACATCAAAAATTAGTACTTTCATTAGACTATACGCAAATAGAATACACATTTTTAAATAAGGATAAAAGAAATGGATAATTGAATTAATTTTGAATTAACTTACGTATTAGGTAGTAAGTNAAAATATAATTATGTCATAAATCTATGGTATACCCAAGTGTTAAATAGAAACAAAATTATAAAAATGTAGCATTTAAAGATCAATCACGAAATTACATCTCATGTAGGAAAAACGTGCAGAATTTTCACAGCTAGAATTAGTGAATGTAAGAAGTCAAACATGCAATAATAAAACAAACTGAGTCAAATTATTTTAAACCCCTTCTGATGAACTTTTAGAAATTATAGAAATTAATAAATTAAAGTTTTCTAAAAAATTAAAGTCGCCATATGTGACTCCCCATATAATCGAACCTGTCGTCAACTGGTCGATAATTCCGTTTCTCATTAAAAATTCTAGGTTTACGGTGTAAATTCCGAAGAAGCAATTTGGCAAAATTTCATGGATGATTTTTGAAGGAAGCTTTATCAATTTAAAAATTAGGTTAATTGGTTTGTTGTCAATTCATTGTAAACACGTTGAATTTTAACCTTTACCTACTTCAAATTGGCCAATTAGTTCACGGTCTAACTTTCAAAGAAGCAATTTGGCGAAACAATAATCAAGGTAAAAATAAACAGAAGTTTAAATTTATTATCATTATGTACTCACAATAGTCATTTAACAATACTATACAAACATACACTACATATTACTCAAAAAATATTAGCTTCTCCGCCTATCGTCAAAGTGTTTTAATTCAATCATATAAACTTCATAAATAATCAGCATCTACAGAGAAGAAGCTCCTGAAATTCTAATACAACAATCTACTTCCAATGCGAAAACATAATATACTGTTTAAACAGCTGTTTATGGTTCATTTTATGTGCATAAAAAAAAGTTGAGGATAAGTTGAACAACTTGTTAAATTATTTCCTGTTATAGTTATCTATAATTAAAAAAGTGAAAATGAAACTAAAAAACTCAACTTGCGTACATTTATTTCAAGAGCTTTAAACCAACATAATCTTATCGGAAAGTACAAACTACATTGATTTATAATTCCAACCTATTTAAACTAAGTCAGTTTCCTATACAGATAAGACAAAATTTTTACTGAACAGAAACTACACATTTCTTTATTGGATTTTCCTTTCGCATAAGCGAAAATGCATTATTTGATGAAACTGTGGAATACGTTTTCTCAGCAAGTGTAGTCTGAAATTTGCTTTTCTATAAACTGTCAAAATTCGCTTAGCAAAGCTTAACACCCCTTTTAAATTGCATTTATTGGGCTTATATTACATGTAATAGAATATCCCTGTGTTTGGTATTCCATTCGTCTGTATTGTACAACAAACCCTACAGATTTTCGACTTAATTGTTAATTAACAAAGTAAATACTTTAAAATGTGAATGGCATCAATACAGCTAAAGTGGATGAATTATTTGGCAATAACATGGAAGGAAAAGTGTAATACGCAGTTTACTAAATCTGTTCTGTGGTAGTAACAGGCAAGTGGTTCTAACCAACTATTCCATAAATACAAAACTGCTATCAGTTTGATGTATAAACTAAAAATATTGTGGTCATCTAATACAGGAGTTACTCATAATTGCAACTAAGAACATTGAATTGTTGACAAAAATATAATTAAAGTAACATTTTAAAAGTTTAGAGGAACATCCTGGTGGTCCACGAACTTTTCAACGCGCTGTAAAGCGAACCGTAGTGTATCCAATAATCAAAAAGCTTTTATTCAAACAGAGCTGAACTGTCACCCGATAATTTAAGAAAAGGTCACAAAAACGTGAGATCCGAATTCCGGCTTCGCTCTCTAGGTATCTATCACCTCGATGGTCACATCAATTGTGTTTTTAGTAATCGTAGATTATAATTGATTTGTACTTCTGTTATTACTGTTCTCTAACTCTTATCTTCAAAAATATTTTGCACTTAAGCTCCCAGCAACACAAATCTACTTTTTTCGGAAGGAAAACTAAAAGTCCAATACTAACATTCGATATCTTAAAGGATTTTATCTTGGTAATGGAATAAACAACAATACACAATTACATTTAATATTCATGTTATGTATTTTCCAATATGCATCCGTAAATATTATTGGCTCCCGTTAACAAGACCCAATAAGGGACCATGTGACAATTCGCCTCTTCAGAGTAGCCGTCTAGGCGTCACATACGAGGTAGACAACATAACCTGAATCCATCAGTCAAATAAGAGTACGATTTCCCTGGGTACTTTTTTATTTTTACTGTTTTTGCTAGCTAATTTATTTTTTAACGCCATTCAACCATTGTTTCGGCTATGCAAGACTATATTAGGTATAACGCCTAGACTAACGACAGCTCGCTGTTCGTAAAACCGAATTTAATTGGTGTCTCCATTGAAATTATTGTTACTGGTAAATTCGTGTTAGGGAATTGTTAGGCATACCAATGCTTAACTGACATTCGTACAGACATGCTACATGAAACACCTTTGGCATAATCTTCACTATCTTGTTATAAAGTAAATTTGAGCTGTTCGTACACCACCAAAACCCTTACATATGATTCGTGGCACATTTACATTTACAGTTATTTCTACTTTATTATAAATTAAATGAAATTAAACACATTCCTAGTTTAAAAATCGATTTTCATAAAATTATGGGGCGCGCAACACCTGTACTTCCTAGCCTGAGCTTGGGCTACCGCAAGAGTCATGAATATTTCGATCTTGTATTCTCGTGTTTTCAAAACCAAACTATTATTAAGTGCAAGAGCTTATATGAGATATGACTCAATAGCAAAATGAATAATTTGAGAAACTTATCTTGTCAGGACCACTTGTTCAAGATCTTGAGCATATCTCATTCTATACTTAAGGCTAACAGCGATGCAGAAACAGAACAGTCGCGATAGTGATAATCTATTCATACTTCTATTATAGCCATTCATTAGACCATTTCTTTTTTTATTTTAAATTTTCTACCTAAATTTTGGTACCTTAGGTATTCAAAGTCGGGATCAAAGATTTCCTTATACAAGACATAAAGAAATCAAGACAATATCGAGGTCACGTATAAGCACATGAACAAGACAGAACTTAAAATCTGTATTTTCCTAAAACTAAAACATCTCACGTCCAATGAATTATTATTTGCGAACAATATCCCAATCTAGGTCTTCTTGTGCCCCTGTTCACTCACAGTTCTACTTCCAATATGTCTCCAATAACTATGTGCAATTCAACTATAGAGAAACTTTGATTTTTTTATCTTTTCCGTACCTTTTATGATTATTGTCTAAACAAGTTTAACTAAGTTTTTTAATTATCTCTAGCAGTTATCAAAAACTATCTTTAGTGGATATTGCCTAGAAAGGATTAAAAACATTTCTTAACTAATTGTACTACTAACCAATCATAGTGCTTCTACTTTAAAAGGTTAAAATTTAGTGTTATCCGTTAAGGGTGCCCGTTGGTTCGCTTTTTGATGGTTTAATAGGGTTGGGTATAGAACATAAATTTCATTCATGTCTCAGAAGGTATCCTACCATCATGATTCCTTTTTGTATACAGTTATACAACGCCCACTGTTATCCTATTCTTTCTAAAACCTTCTCATTTCTAATATCTGCTATCGGCAGTCTTATAAACCAGAAATAGTAATTATTGTGTATTCATCGTCCTAATTAAATTATTTTCATGCTTGATACATGCTCGTAAATTGCCACAAAATATGTCTCGCCCTTCTTCATTCCATATATTTTATTGCAAAACGTGAGCAATGCTTTATTAGGATTATTATTTATGGTTTTTTAAAAATATTAATGATTAAATTTATAATTTAACTTACGTTTTCGAGATAATGCAAACACATATTTTTTGTAATCTTTCACGTGGGTTGAAGGTTCTCACTTGGAGAGGGTATCGATAAAAAGTACAGCGGCGCTTATATTCTCCTACTGAAGTTTTATCTTATAACTTGTATGCTTATCTTTTTGCATGAATAGAAAAGAGTTTCTAATATTACAACAATTTAAATTAGTCTGAATTTGTTCTGTTTGCTTATTTCTTGTAAACAATTATTGAACGATGAACGGGAGCTGTGATTATAGCAATATTAACAACAATATTGACAAAAAACTGTTTGATTTGAATATAGATTTGCAAAAAAACACCAAATCTTATGTTTATGATACACTACGCCAAAACTTTTAAAGGCATGAATCCTGCACTCTATCAAATGTCTACTCTTGCTTTGTTCAGTAATACGAATTCTTTTGCATTTTGTAAATCATTTAAATAACATCTTTATGCAATCCACAACAGTAGGCATTGTTTGTCAAATGCATTCGTAAACAATAAAAAAATTAATTGCCTTTTAAAATTACACCATCTAAAAGTATCTTTTTATCCTTTTGCCTCTATTAAACGAAGAAATATTATATTATAAAATCACATGAATGGCACCATTCAACAATTTAAGCCCATTTATCTATCCTGTTGGCTACTTCATCTCATTATTTCTGCAGATAAAAATATCAAACCAGAACTTGTTAATACATCATAACACAAAAATAACGTAACTTTTGTCTAAGTTATAAATAAAATGTTCTTCGAAATAACGTTTCTGAAACTGAATGATTAATTTTATTTATGTGTAAATGTTACTTATAAAAGAGCGAGCTAGTTTCTGTGTTTCTATCTATAGGTAAGAAAAAATAAAGATCTTTTAATCACCAACGTTGGATTGGGTCCAAACGTTGCATATTCGAGTTCAAAATTTTTACTACTATGTACAAGCGCGACTTTAATTTCAGAAGGAAATAAACAGAGGAGTGTGACACCAGTGCGTGCCACCAATAATTAATGTAGCTGCAGCATGCATATTATATTTGGATTTAACTATAATAATGCATGTTAACTTATTATTTTAAATCAACGATGTTATCGTTAGTACTGAATCTCGCACGACTGGAGGAAATGAACTCAAAAAGTTTTTATTTTCAATTTAATAAATAACTTTGAAATTTGATAATTAAATAGGTGATATCAACCTCAAACAGTACTAAGATTTGTATAACTAAAATAAGTAAACTTCTGTTCAGTTTTTAGTCACTACTTTCTGAAGAAAAGAACGACAAATTTTACAAAAGTGCCAAAAAATTAAGTGCATGCGAAAACGAAATTTCTATATTAAGAATTTGGTTGAGAAAATAATTCGCAAGTAAATTACCTGAATAATAAACAAATGATAATCACAATGAAAGAATTAATTTTTTTCAGTAAACTTACCAAAAGTAAGTACTAGAAATCCTAAAAATTGCACCATTATGACCGGCACTGTTACGCGCTCGAAAATGAATGAGTATATACATATAGAAAGGTTGTCAATTTGGCAACCATTATGAGTTGGTTGGCAGTAAATTACGGTGACAAGAGCAATTTAAAGACAGATTGGCTTGTGGCTCTGAATGAAATTGATACAAATCCCGTATCAGTCATTATCTTTATAATACAACAATACACTTAGCATTTATAAAACTTTAAGAATGGGCTTTTCAATAAGAGTACTTAACATACTATATACCAAAATTTAAATTTCATACCTCTCTTAAAACATGCTTTTGTAAAGTTTCCAACCTAATTGTACTACTGTGAAAACTATTACTGGTTTAGATTTACTTATTTGCCCTTAAAGGTTATTTAACAAATGCAGTTAATCAATTAGGAATTTCTAGAATGTAACTAAATGGCTGTTTTTCCTCTCCTAATACTCTCCCATTTCTGATATATGAATTTTTCACAATTTTACAGTTGCCTTTAAAATATGGCGCTTCAGTTTTATTATTATGGTCGTAATTATCTATAAATCAGCATGTAGGTACATATGTAGAAATTACGTTGTGTAGACAGATCAACATGCAATTGTTATGATATACGTACGTAAAATATCTCTTATCTCAAAAGAGTTCGTTTTCTAGTAAGTGTTTTTAAGAATACTTAAATTACAGGTGCTTATATGAAATGTAACATCCATATACTTAATGTCGTCAGTCAATATTTGTCACATCAATAGAAATGAGCAGCCATAATTCAGTCACTTATAGGGATATTGTAAAATAATTAAACCTTAGAGGTATATTAAAAATGTCATAAAGACATAAGACGGTATCTCTTTATTGCAGAGTAACATTAAATCGTATAATTTACATTGATGGCTTACCGTTGCCTACAACTTCACTGGGCGTTCAACAATTGCGCTCAAATAAAAACAATAATAACAATTGTTCAAAAAAGGTAACTTGCACTTACCATCTACTTGAAAGTCAACCTAATCAAAACATTAGTGTGACACATAGCTGCAGGTACTTACTAACGGAAGGCTTACATTCAGGAAATTATAAATAAAAATACTCATTGGCCAAATGAGTGTATCAGCTATCAGTTATTATAAACGTTGACATTTAATGAATTGCATACCTTTTGTGAGTAAAAACCAATACATAATAAACCTATTCATTTATTCTTATAAAAAAAAAGTATAGGGCCAAGGGAAAAGATATTTTAATAATATTCATTAAAAAAAAATAACCCATTACCAACAAAACAGGGAAGGAAATTAAATACAGCATGTTCATTTTTTTTTTTGAGTACCATGTTATTTTTCTACATAATCGCCTTCCTCCTCAATTACTCACTGTTTTTTTATCACAATTATGTCTATTTTCCGAAACAGTCAACTGACCACTGCCGTGAATTACTTGCTGTCCCATTATTTTAAAAGAGGGAAAATATGGTAATCACTGCGTTAGATCTGGGGAGTATGGTAGGTTAGGCAAGGTTAGGTATACTTCATGAAGCACTGCAGAGTAAATAGATATAAAAAGTGAAAGATGGTATCTGGAATATATCTATTACCGTATGTTTTACGATTAGCCATGTAACTAATGTGTTTTCGACTAACGCTTCACCATCTAAAGCATATAACATCAAAATCAGACCGCTATAATTATACGTCTGGATCAATAGAAGATACATACCTTCTAGGCCTACAAATACTTTATTATTAGGACATTCATTTATTTTTTCCAGTTAATTGTAGGTAAACATTTTATCTTCATTTAAGTCCAGAAATATTTGCTTGGTTAAAACGTGATCGGTTGATTTTACTAAAGTAAAAGTAACTTGGATATTATATATATTATATATTCAGTTACACATTTTTCTTAATAGACAAACTGTATTGTAGTAAAATCGAAGAAGAGCACTTTTAAGAAAAAATAATTGAAATAATAAATTACATTAAAAACAAGTTATCCTCAAATTTGTTTAATTTTTGTTCTGCTGTTGCTGTATATTTATAAAATTCATTACCTTTAAAAAAATAGTATCTCCATGTGAATATCTATGTGCCTACCAAATTTTGTTCAAATTGCAGGCCGCATCTTCCAGTTGTTTCAAAAAAGCTGTACCTTTTAAGAATTGTTGTCGATATAAGGATCTTTGTTTTAATCCGAAACTGCTGCGGGTATAGTTTTTAAATAACAAGCCAAAATTAAGCTATGGAAAAACTCACTGACGTACGTACTTAACCGTTCAAAGTTTTACAGATTGTATCTATCGGTAGGACTGGTCTTCAGCCTTCTCATATGTAAAATACATCAAAAATTAGTACTTTCATTAGACTATACGCAAATAGAATACACATTTTTAAATAAGGATAAAAGAAATGGATAATTGAATTAATTTTGAATTAACTTACGTATTAGGTAGTAAGTTATTAATGCACTACACTAATGTATTGAATTTAATGTTAAAAAAACTCAAAGTGCCTCAAAGATTAACAAATTACAACATGTCTATTTTTCTAAACGCACACTTGCGACTACGATGTTTTAATCGCACGACGGTAATCACAAGTGTGTGCCTAGCCTTAGTAAAATTGTACGAGCTCATTTAAGGAATCAAAGAAAATCGTCCTTTCGTGGTCAAACGGCTCCATTTGGTATATAATTCGGTTTAATCATCCCAACATAATCCTATAAACCTGTAGTTATTGTATATACACCTATTGGTAGACAAAAGAGACTAGTATAAATGTACAATCTAAATAGAGTGAGTCAGATATTCTACAAAGAAGCAGGAGATGGCGCGTAGTGGCGGGCTTGTGGCGGTCTCGACTTCCCGCTCTCATAAACGTACGGATAAAGTCAACAACGAGGTTGCACACAAGCGCCGCTAGCGCAAACGGACACTAATTCCGCGCGTCGAGTCGGTGTCCACTACCACGAAAGTCTATAGGAAGTGCTCGCCAAATTTGTAACCACTGGACGAAGTCAAGCGCGAATTAGAACCTGTCACTAAGTTTATTCACCCTGACGCAGACGATTAGCCAGGACGTGGCATAGTTATTTCTTTTATCATTTATCATCTTCACATGTATCAGACCAACATTCAACTTTTATGAATCTTTTGTATCTTCTTTCCTTGTTATAAATTAATATTATTGCCTGTACGCTTGGGGCTGTATATATTAATAAACATTTACATGGCGCGTTATATTAGGACCCTATATTGGTGACTCCGAGCCTAAGGATCCGGCGAAATATCCTCCATTCAAAATTGCAAACTCCCGTCCTTCTGGAAGGACCACCCGGAGACGTGGTTCCTGCAAGCAGAATCAGTTTTTCAGTCATTTAACGCACGAGCCGACACTGCGAAATACCACCTAATCGTCAGCAACCTGACTCCAGAGGCATTGTTAGCTGTCACCGAAATTATCAAATCACCACCCATTACATATAAGTACAATACCCTCAAAACTGAGCTTGTTAATCTCCTAACTGATTCGGCAGATAACCAACTACACAAAGTTCTGGCTGAACTCGAGCTTGGCGGTAGAAAACCTTCAGAGTTGCTCAGGCTTATGCGGTACATGATAAGCTCCCAAGCCCCTGAGAACGCTCTATGAGTCCACTGGTTAGCATTACTTCCTTCGATCGTCCAAAAATTGCTATTTGTTTTCCAAGCCACGTCATCATCCGATGAACTTGCTGAATTATTGCATTTCGTGATGAATGTTACCACTCACTCCAGCTATCCTTCTGCCTCTGTTATGGCTGAACTCAAGGAGATTAGAAAAGCGCTTGAAAACAGAAAACAACAAATTGAATAAACTTATCTAAAACGATGATCGTGGCAGACCTCGCTCACAATCCAGCACCAGAAAGCTGCATATTTCACCGGTAGGACACTGCTACTATCACCATAATTTTTGTAATCGCGTGCGACGTTGCAATAAGCCCTGTACATTCAAGCCTACTTCAGATCAATCGCCTTCGCTGGAGGGAAACTAGCAATGCTGTCGTCAGCAACGGCGGTAAGCGACAACAACAGCAATGAATCATTAAAAGATACCGCCTTTTCGTCAGCGATAAGCGCAGCAGTTTGGTATTCCTGTGTCTGGACCCATACTTTCCATTATCCCACATTCTTGTATTCATCACAAACTGAAAATGACGGACTACAAACTGTTTTCTGCCAAAAATTCCACTATTAAGACTTACGGTAGACACCATCGCTTTCTACAATTTGGCCTTCTCCAAGATTTCAAATGGTTATTCATCCTTGCTGATATCAATCATCAATGCAAGCTTTTTGGCCTATTTTGGACTACTTATCGATGTACAAGGCCAGTGTGTCATCGACAGAACCACCAGACACACTGTGAATGGTAACATTGCAGAAGCATTAATGCACAGTATCTCTACCACAGCTTCCTCTCATGGTTCTTCTACCGACACCATAAAACCACCGTACAGGCAGCTCCTACAAAAATTTGACGATATCACTCTGCCAAAGCCAATTCCAATCATTCACAAGTTAAATTTCGTCACCACATCCTCACTTCTGAATGACTTGTGACGAAACGTCCTAGGTGAGATTTACTTAGCAGCTAAAGCTGATTCCAATCTTTTGCTTCAGCATGGCAGTATTAGATTCTCGAGCAGTGAATGGGCAAGTCCAATCAATATGGTGTCCAAAAGACATAGTGGTTGGCGCTCAATGTGTGATTATCGCCGCCTAAATAAGCATACAGTGCCAGACAGTTACCCAATTCCATTAATCCATGACTTACTACACCGTGCTCAACATTCTTAACCTAGCCTACTATCAAATTCCATTCGGTCTGAGTTTTGCATGATGGTCTCAGAAATGCTATCCAAACCTTTCAACGTCACATGGATAACATTCTTCGCAACGTAGACTTTGCCTCTTGTTTCATTGAGGACTTTTTTCCAAATCCCCCGAAGAGCATGTCAAGCATTTGGAGGATATTCTCAAGATATGATGCAAGAGAATAACCTGGTTATTAATCCATAATATAATAACATAGTATTGCTTCGGCAAAGAAAAAGTATTTTACCTGGGCTATCATCTTGACAAACATAGATTCACAACTCCATCGGAGAAGGTGGAAGCCATCCTGAAATTTCCAACCCCTGAGACTATTTCTGATCTCCGACGTTTTCTTAATTAACTTAACTTAATTATTACCGTCACTGCATCCCAAGCGCCTCTACCATTCAGGCACCTCTCAATGGGCTGTTAAAGAATGTCAAGAAGCACGACAAGACCAAAATTAATTGGACGCCTGAGCTTAAAGCTGCGCTAGAACAGTGCAAGTCCAGGATATCATCACCCGTTGTCACTGTGTTTTTGTCACCTTCAGCATTTATCGCTCTATATACAGACGCTTTCGACCATGTCATTGATGCTTCATTAGAGCAATTTGAAAATGGTATATGAAGGCCTATTGGTTTTTACTCTAGAAAACTCATCAAATTCTTCCGCTACATTCTGGAAGGTCGCTCATTCGTGATCAAGACTGATCATCGCCCTTAGTGCACACTTTTGCTCAGAAAGTAGAAAAAACGTCCCTCGACAGCTCAATCAGCTCAGCTTCATCTCTGAATTCACCACTGAGATTGTTTATGTAAAGGGCGAAGAGAATTTTGTTGCGGATGCCCTGTCGAGAGTTAACGCCATCAACATGCCCACAGCGCTAGATTTTCAAACGATTGAAGACGCCAAACAACTTGATCAAGTGCTTCAGGATCTATAAAATGATGACTATACTCTGAAACTTCAGCTTCTTAATCAAGGTCATATCATTTACTGTGACAACTCAACTAGCAGGATTCGACTGTACTTACCTGAACCTCTTCGCAAACAAACTTTCAACGTCTTTCACGAACCTTGTCATCCCAGTGGCCACACTACAGCTCGTCAATTGAAGTTCGTTTGGCCTGACCTCCAATGGTCCAGGGAATGCATCGAGTGCCAGCGTTCCAAAGTCCAACGACACAACCGCATTTGACTCGCGACACATCGACGTCCCAGACTGTTGCTTTGATCACATCCATCTGGACATCATAGAACTTCCAGAGGTCAACAGTTTGGTACCACTCTCACGACTACTACCGACCCAGTTTGAGTCAAGTCAACGTATACACACTGCACCATACCATCATCAGTCAAATAGGCTTATTGAGCGTTGGCACAGAACTTTTAAAGCCGCCTTAATGTGTGGTGCTTCTGAATCTTGGCTACACTTGTTACCAACTGTTCTTCTTGGTCTTCGCACCTATTTTTCAAAGAAGATCTCAATGCATTCCAGGCGAGTTCTTCTTGGATGTTTTTTCCTGAAAAAGTTTAGAGACTACATTAGAATAGAGAGTCCTACTCCCACTACACACCGTATGACACTCTGACCTTTCATTCTGAAGAATTTCTACACATGTTCCCATGTTTTTCTCCGAATTGACGGAGACGTTAGACCCACTTTGTTCTGGTCCGAATAAGATTATCAGAAGAATCAATGACCGTGTCTTCATCATCGACATCAACTGGATGGAGAAAGCTATATTAATCGTCGTTTGAAACCTGTTTTCTGTGTGAAAATCGGTTCCGACGGGAGGGGGCAATCTCATCTCTTCTTTCATTATTTGGATGAACCCAAATTAGTTTTACGTTTTCATTTGACAACTAAATAACAATAACGCTAAAAGATCGAAAAGCTCCCCCGTGTGAAGCTAATGAGCCTCCCGAGTACGTGACATACCCCTTGCTACAACCAGGCTTCTACACAACTAAATAATTTTTCTTGTACTAATTATTTTGAATTTTCTATTTTCTGATTTTTTTTTACTTTCCTTTGGGTGTAGTTTCCCAATTATCTTTTCCTTCTTTTGTATTACAGCTACCGTAGCTTACATTGTTTTCTTTTAAACTTTTATCGTCCATTTACCTTCTTTTGTTTGAATCAGATGTTTTCATGCTTGACCTATAGTTTCCCGCTGACAATTTTCCTTTCTTTTCAGCGAATTTAACGTTAAAGACGATTTCGTTTTTTTATGTTGTACGAGGATTTGTAATACATTACTCGATACGATCCCGGACTTGGCTTCTAAAAAAAAAAAAAAAGAAGAAGGAAGGTTAAATACTCCGAAAGGATGGCCACTTAAAAAGATACTAACAGCCAAAACCTACGACTTGCCTCACGGCGTGCCCTTTTTTCCCTTTGTCAAAGTCGCTTCGACAAAAACCGATAATACAGATACAATAAACATCATGGTGAGCTCGATCTTCCAAAAGTCAAAACTGCGATTACTGAATTAGTTGAGCAACTTAAAAATGCCACCACTACAAAAATTTTATTCAAATTACTAGTTATGAAGATTGGAAAAACTTTGGCGGTTGTTGTAGAACAAACAGAATAGCTCAAAACCCCAACGTCAAAACACGACACTGTAGTTGTCCGAAGCACTTTTCGGTAACAAAGTTACCTTCTTCAGGGACTGAAGTAAACTAAACCTAAATGAGAACTAATCCTAATTTATACTGATAGTTGTTAAGGTTCAGTGAACATGACCCGAAGCCAACAAGGTAGATGTTCAATGGACCTTAACATCATCATCATAAACGTAATTAAACTAAACTAAATAGCGGAGATCCAGGGATGGGACCGTTGTCATTGTTAAGAACAATTTGTTTATTTTTATAAATGTATAAACTTTCAAAACTGTTTAGTAAACGATTATTCCTAACTTCTTTAACTAACTTAAGGTTATTAATATTAA